TATATATATATATATGATTCTCACACTAACGTTTATTATCACAAAAAAATTCTACTAATTTCTTACCAGCCGGCATTACTAATGCCAGTTTTGACATTTAAAAAATATAATCTTTACTAGAGTGGCATAATGTCACGTTTTCAGTCGGACATCATTGTGATGATAATAATATATATAGTTTAATAAGTTTTTGTTTTTCGAGATTAATTACCATGCCTTATTTTTTTACTCATTCGTCATACCAATTTCATCTAGTACTTATTGTAACTTATTAATATTATTTCGTCGTAATCTGCTACCGATAATGACAGATGAAAAAAGAATTTTTTTTAAATATAAATTATTTTAAATTACCAGAATTCCCTGTTACAAATTGTGAAATATTGAAGATAATTTATCTCATGAAAAAAATACCTTATGTTTAATTTATAAACCAAAATAGTTCAGCATAATAACATTTTTTTTTTCATTAAAGATCCTGTAATTTCTCTTATTAAAATCGAATTTACTTCATTGAAAACGAATTTTAAAAAAAATATTGTTTTGACCTCTTTTCGTAGAATTTATGTGCAACAATAAAAATTGAATGAAAAAGTTTATTAATTTTTAATATTTTTTATAAAATATGAATTTACGAATTTTGAACTTTTACTTACATAAAAATAATTTTATTTGAAATCAGTTTATGTAATTTTATAATTATTTAAAATCAATTTATATTTTAATCGAATATTTTTATTTTTCAATTCGAAGATTGAACATAGAAGTTTTAGTTATATTTTGCAGTTAAGTATTAATCTTTTTTTTATAAATGAACAGATTTATCACTTAATTATTAAATTACAAAATAACTTTTATTATTAGTTATCTATCAGATATTTCACGTTTTGAAATGAGCATACTCAAAATAAATTTTAATTTAATTTCTATTTTGTGTACTTTGCTTTTAAATAGATGTCTTTTTAATTATTTTCTAATAAGTTGAAAAATACTTCTTCTAATTTGCAGTATTTTTTTATTTATTAACTTATTGATACACTTGCGACCATGACTTAAATAAATATCACAATTATTCTTTAAAGAAAAGATCGCTTGAAACTCAATTTCAGTTGACTTTAATCAATGCTAGTTGAACAATCCAATTAACAGTTTATTGGACAACCTTTAAATTCCACTAGAAATTACAAGCTAAATTTAAGCCAAGTTATTAAACGTGGTATTAAAAATCCACTGTCTATGAAGATCAAAACCAATATCAATTACTTAAATGAAGAATCAATTTTTAATACATACCATTATTATGCTTTCCATAAACATGAACCAAAAATTTGAACTTAATATACTTGTCAAATAATTCAACTTAATACATATCCCTTGGAATCTATAAAGTAACGAACGAAAATCCCAGCAAATCTTTAAGTACCTATCAAAGTTTCGACTTGATTCTATCCAATGCATATCTCCAATAATAGTTCTTTTCATAAGCAGTGACTGGATTCACTAAGTTGTGTCCTCCTTCGAAATTCTTCATTACATATGGATTAGCTGCCTTAGATTCAAAGTGTTATTTGACGCTCTCGCGATCCCACTCAGTAAGATCGAGGAAGGCGAATAGAAATTCAGATCATACATTGATGTACTTTATCTTGAATTCAAATTTCAATCGAGTAGAAAATTTGAATTGCAGTGGTGTGCTACAGTTCAAAATTTGGAATCAGTTGCATTTTAGAGTTAATTTTAACTCCATAAATTGAAGTAATGTGAATTTAATATTCTGGTTTTCATTTTTGTTTTTAAGTGTTAGATATTATAAGCTTGGAAGAAAAATGTGTTGAATGTTTCAAGTTTTAGAAATGGTTTTTTGATGCTAAGGAAAGCTGGATATGTATTTATATATTCATGAAATTATTCAAATATTTTTATTGTTAAAAAAAGGGTTATTTTTCCATATCAAAATCTCTCAGTGGACTGATCGTAAGGACACCGTTCCCAGTAGAACACCGAAGTCGAGAATAACTATTTGCCGTCAGTAAGCGGATGGGGGACCACTTTGATCAGATTGCGTAGGGACCAAGGGTGCGTGGTTTTGGTCCTCATTAATCTGCTCTACCGTGAAGTGCTCGACTTCACACGCAGGTCATCGGACTCAAAACTGAGCTCAGAAGATCAAAATTGCGATGGCATGTCTTCGAATAATCATCAGGGGTGTTTCTCAGACTGTCCCCAATAGCCCATTGTGCAGCTCTAGTGTGACGTAAATAAATGACCTACCTTCCTATCTTATATGTCAAAATTTAAATTAAATTAGACATAATTAATAACTTGAATTTGCGATTAATAGAATTTAAAAGGATACACTACTATAAATTGAGAGAAATTAAATCCTTAAACGAGAGTATGAAATGGTCGTGCCTCGTAAGCGCATCAATGTGTAAAGAAAAAAAAATGAAAATGCTTTTATGTTAGTTAAGGATTAAAATATTTAGACATAGTAATTCAAGAAACTAATGTAAATAATTTAAAACAATCTAAAAATCTGTTTCTGCTTCATACCACATTGGATTGTCTTTTATTATTTACTTGTGTTCATTATCTTACAATATTCTTAAAAATTAAAGATATTGGTGTAGATAAATAGTATCTACTCATACACTATTATAATTATTAAAACAATCGCAATTATACTAAATAAGCAATAAAAATAGTACCTAAATTATTCTTGAATGACAGCATAAGCTGATGGCTAAGTTTTATATTAACAAAGTACGTTCATAATAGTAGAACGAAATAGTTGATTTTTATATTTAAAATAAGTAACATTTATTCACTATGGATGAATCAATTATTAATGCAATAAAAAATTTCTCTAATTATGTAAGCCAACTTGTTTCCTTTAATTAACTTTTAAAAATATAAATTTTAAACTTTCTTAGAACTATTTCCCATTTAAATTCGTTTAGTTTTTTTTTCTAAAGGCAATAAAATGCTTCTTGCTGTAGAAGAATTTTTCTTTAATGAAAAATAACAATGCATGTGCATTAAAATATCCTTATTTTAAAAAGTCGTAAAGTTTTAGGAATTTATACCTTTACTACTTACTTTTATAGGTAAATAAAAGATTCTTCATGTTTATATAAAAAAAGAAATAGTCAAAATTTTTATGCCAGACAGTTTTAAAGTGAATAACTTTTCGCAGCTGTTCAAAATTTAATTTTAAAGCAACATGTTTTTAACACATGTCTGTTAAAATATTTTATCGTTTTTCGTTAATCGAAAATACTTCTCTTCAAAATAAAGGATATTTATTTTGAATATTACCATGGTTTTATATCGCTGAAGTTTGTTTGTCACTTTTTTTAAACACACGTATTATAAAACGGCCTGAAAATAGTTAAAATTTATATTTTGAAATGTAAGTAATTGAATTCCCAACAAATATTTACAGAGTTTATTCCGATGCAGATTGTCTTCGTTGAAACACGAGAGAACAAACTATTCATAAATATGACACAGCAGACGCATTGCGACACGTAATAAATTTTGTCGACAATTGTCGATTTATATATTTTTTCAGTTAAAATAATACCAAGTAATTTCTTAAGTTTGATTCCAGATTTATTTATAGAATAAATTCCATGGCAGATATTCCCAATTATTCTAAATTAAATTTCTTGTGCCGTAATTTAAAAGCATGCGTATTATAAATATTTTAATATTTTTTCATAAACCGAGAAGATTTAACTTCAAAATGAAGGATATTTGTTCGGGATATTAACAATTTCGTGTCTCTAAGGCATTCAATATCTCTTTCAAATGCAT